TCAGTTTTTCACGATTTCACTGATACTGAACTGCATAAATCAAATTAACGTTTCTATGTTTCAGGTTTATAAATACAGCTGATAATTGAAGGGGTAAAAGTACAAGCTATAATACATGATAAGGGGGAAAATTCCTAATTACAAAATTGAATATTATATTTTAGTAAGTAAGTGATCATATTATAGTACATCCAAAAACGATATATATAATATAATAATATATATATATTGTATATGTTATATTATATATTAAATATTTATATGTATATGTACTCCTTTTCCGGATGACTGTAATTACGTATGAGCTGTTTTATCTTCCCGTAGCGATGCATTTGGATTTGCTTATATGATTTGTTTCATTGAAACAGGAACAAATAGGAACAGAATATTGAAAATTGAATTTGTTTTGAGCATAGTAATTTTATATATGTTAATTGACAAAAAGTATATTCATGCATAGCGAAGTGAATACTTTTTGGCAATCACCTTCTAGGATGATCATTTTTTGAAAATAACCGTACTGTTTATAACATTACCCCGGTACGATCTTCTGCCTAAGGAAAGGAATGCCTTCGTGGAAGACTTTCTAAGGGAATTGCTCCTATACACGTTACACAGGGTAAAACCACGAAGCGAACCAGTCGACCGAGCTACTGGTGTCAGTACTTTACCCGCTTCGTGCCTCATTTCAGAGCGGATTCGCTAATATGAAACAGAGCAATGTGCTGTTACCGTTAAATACGTAGCTTTGCCTTTTTCTTACCACCATAAAAAAAAAAATAGCAAAATTATAACAGCGTTTCTAAAAAGATGCTTTGCTATATCTCATTAAATCTTTATTATTCTGCGCTACTAGAAACGTACGATTATTTCATTCAAAATTTTATAACATTACTTTCAGAAATGATCTCCTCTTCTAAAAATGAAACCCCACATCTTTTCATCCAGCGGCTTACTTTCTAGACAAAGTATTTCAGTGTACGTACGTTCAGTTTTTATCTAACTTTGAACGAAAAAAAAACTATGTACATAACAGGCAAAGATATAACAGCACATAAATTTACTCCATTATATTGATTACCAGAGGGAAAAAAAATCGATGAGTATCTCTGAAAATTCATAAACGCTAAACTTAAGAATAAATTTTATAAATTTTTGCTAATGAATACATGTCTTTGCATAGTAATTTCCTTTTTTTGAAATTTTTCCATCTTTATCACGTTTATCGGAGTTCGTATTTAACTTCAAATTGCTCCGAAATTTTCATTGCTGTAGATTGGATGATTACCAATATATAATCCTACTAGTAACAGGGCCAGTATTAGAAGTTTTTGCTGCTCACTCAATATCTGTGGCTTTTACTCTGCCACGCGCCGCCAGTGGCTGGTGGTGAGAATATTGTTGCTGGAAGTTAGACCGTTTCGGTTTGATCCCAGGCGAACCAGCTGGCTGCATGGTTTTTTTCCTGTTGTGCAACATGAATACGAGCCATTTTCCTTCAGCAATTAGGCTCACCGCCCCCGGCGGTAAATCGCTGAACATGGAGTTCCGACCTGCTTCGAATCAAGGCGAACGGGCTGGCTACATGGGCGTTTTCATAATCTTCCCTGTGTGTACTGTACGGGAGCTTGCTATAAACTAACTAGCCTTCAGAACTTCCTCTGAGCGAAACCAAAGAAAAAAACAACCCAGAGCCCGTGAGGCGAGGTCGATGAACTCGGTACCAGTAGCGGGGTGGCAGCAACGCAAGGAAATGACGGATCTGAACAAGGTCCGTAGAAAGAAGTACGGACCGTAGCATGCGGCCACTTAACGCGAAACGTAAAGGTCTACTGTTTAACACACAGATCGTATTTTATTCTCGAGTGTCAAGATGTAGAAACATCTTTTTACTCGAATTTTGATAAGGATCGGGTGGAAAGAGATAGAGTGAAAGGAAGTGTGGGAGGCGGAAAAAAGAGAATGAGGTCCGCACTAGCGGCTGCGAAAAAAGGAGGGTGGCAAGTTCAGTGTCGTTATAAGATGTAGCCGCGGTGGTAAACCGCAGAGTCAGTTTTAGCGTGAATGAGTCAATTAAGGTTGTAATTGTTATGTGGGTAGGATGTCACATGGTATATTGATGTTTTTCCCTGGGTGCGGGGAGTGTCTGAGAGTGCTAATAAGGCTATTACTGTGGGATTTTACTGAGCGAAAGAAGTTGACCGCTAATCGTTTAATATAGTCTTGTAATAGATTCGATTCGAAGGTCTCTGTGAATATAGTAAGTGTTTGGGAATATACCAAGGAGCATTGATAATTTCTCGTAAGATTTTATTTTGTAGTAATTTGTAATTGTTTTAATATTGGTTTTAGCTTGCATGTCCCCAGATCGGTGCTGCATAAAGGAGAGCTGGACGAAGCATGGGCGATATAAAATCAATTTGTATGTAGATAAGTTGCTTCTTCTACCAAGAAGAGGTCCCATAGAGCTGAAGTTTTTAAATTTTTGTGCTACTCAGCGGAAGTGGATTCTTTTAAGTTTTTGATTCAGGGTGACTCAAGGTATTTGGTTTCATTAATCCAGGCTATTTCTCCGCCAAATATTTCAGGAGGTGTAGGGTAATAGTTTCACCTTTCCTTACGGAAAATTATTGCCTTATTTTTATCAGTGTTAATTTTAATCCTCCAAAGGGTGAGCCATTTTCCCAATTTTATGAGATAGTTTTGGAGGTTTTGGTTTCTTATTGCGATAACTGTGCAGGCTTTAGTAAGTACGGCGGTGTCATCGGCAAAGAGTGCAAGATGAACAGAAGTTTCTTTAGGGATGTCTTGTGTATAAATATTAAAAAAGTACGGCGAAAGTGCCGACCCCTGTGAGTCACCAGCATTCATTACTTTGGTGATAGAGTAAGCAGTACCAATTTTGATTCTGAATGTTCTGTTGTTGGAAAAAGAGGCTATTAAGCGAATAAAATGATCTGGAAAATTGAGAGTGATTAGTTTGTAAATAAGGCCTCGATGCCATACCCTGTCAAAAGCTTTCGCGATATCGAGGAAATAGCACGGTCAGAAGCTTGCAGTTGTAGCCTTCAGTGACAATGTTGATAACTCTAAGAAGTTGGTGGCAAGTGCTATGATGATTACGCCAAAACCGAATTGTTCTTCTGGAGAAAATTCATGGAAGGGTGAATTTTTGGATGTGGAAAAGTAGGATTTTCTTAGTAACTTTAGGCAGATGACTAAGTAAACTGATAGGGCGATAGTTCTGTGGGAAGGTTGGATTTTGTTGCGGTTTAGCAAAAACAATTATTATAGCTTGCTTCCATGAGTTAGGAAAATGAGCGAATTTGATAATGTTGTTGATTATCTTAGTTAGGCAGTTAAGAGCGTTGATCGGAAGATGCTTCAATGCTTTCGTCGAGATGCTTTGATAACATTTTGGAAGAAGGCGCTGCGATCACCGAGGCAAGCGGCTGGACGTTCGCAGCGCTCCGTAAAAAATGAAAAAATTCCTTCCCTTGGTGATTCAATTAAATACTTGAAAACGATTTTTTCTACAATACCTACACGTTTTAAAATTTTTCAGTTGCGATGTTGATGAGAATGAACAGCGGACAATGTGAGGAAGTACTACGAAAGGCTGAATTTTTTAAGATAAGTACCCTTCTTTCATCTAAACTCAATCAAATTTCTATAAATATGTGCCTTTAAATCAATAAATTTTAACTTTTAATCAGTTTTTAGCATTAAAAAATACTTGAAATTGATCATTGCCTGTGGCTTCCTTTGTTAAAAAATTCCGAACAGACGCCAACTTTATCAGTTCACGTCTGTCGTCACTTACAAAGCCCCCTTATCTTGCTTTGAGGAAACTCGTGAGAGGGAAAATAGGGGACTCACGGCATCGCGCTATTTCCTCTCGGATTCTCTGGATTCTTTTTTTTTTTTTAGATCGCTTAAATATTTTTTGCCTTTAAATAATATTACATCTCACCGATTTTTTTCTCGTACTGTTCCTTGCTATCTGTTAAATGTCTATATGTAACGGATGGATTATTTGTCACTGCCTTAAATAAATTCTTAGAACTATGAGCTTATATAAACAACAGTGTCCCTCATTGTGTCTCTAGCATTAATTAAGTAGTAATAAATTATGATAGTAAAATAATAAATCTTGTAATAAATTATGATATATAAATTAATAAATTTTATGTTTAATTTGTGTTTTTAATACATATACTCAGTAATTTACACACACACACACATATATATATATATCTTTTTTTTTTTTTTTTTTTTTTTTGTGTGGTGTGTGTGTGTGTGTGTGTGTGTGTACGGTTGTGGTCTTGTATTGTATATGGTTCTATCCTGTTTGTCTGCTGCTGTTTTTTTGAAAAATGTATGAAATGTTTGGGAACGAAAATAGCACAAGTTACTTTAGTTAAATAATATATACTTTGTATGATGACTTTTTTGTGATATCTCAGATGCAATACATATTACTTGCATATACTCAGCATACATATTACTTTGTATTTCATGCTAAATACCTTGATACGAAGCAATTTAACACCGTAAATATTTTTTTTCTCCCCCAGTAACACATCTGTTCATCATTACCAAACACACTCACCACACACACACACACACACACACAAACTTGTGAGACACTATTTATTGTAAATGAAGACAAATTTTCCTCCTTTTATCTACACTCATGGACACAATCGTATTTTAGGATATTTTCTACTTCTTTTCTTTTTCTTTCTATAGGCCCTTTTTTTTTTTTCCTCTCTATTATTTTTAGGCAATTTATTTTAAATTTTATTTTGTCCCATCTTTTCTTCCTGGCCTTTTGAACTCGTGCAAAATGTAAGAAGTTCCCTTTTTACTCTCCTCAAATACGAAATTGCCCCCTTTCTATATACCTTTCCTTCGCACCTATGCTTGATTTTTCCCTCATCGGTGCAGAAAGACTTAGCGGGTGCAAAACAAGACATCTGTCTACTTTGTCTGTCTGTCTGATAACAATTGGCAACAGTTGCTTAAAAAATCGTCTGTTTACACATGTGACGATTTAAATGCAAATAACAAAAATCTTTAACGGAAATTCTCCCGAACAATTTTTTAATTATGTCCTCAACACTGCAAACGAAAGAAGCATTTCGACAACGGGTCTGGTCATATATGGAAGAAAAGAATATTGCTTTATTTCCTAGACCGGTCTATAATCGCATACCAAATTTTCAGGTGGGATTTAATAAAATGGGATTTTTATCTTTGATAGTATGAGAATCAAGTACAGAATACTTTAATTCTGCTGAGAGTTACTTCCTTATTGTAACTGTTACAGTTAACATATTAGACAGTAAATGTTTTTGGGTAAAGTGCAGAATCGTCCACTTATTTGTTTGGCGCTTTTTACAAGAGTAAGAAGAATTTGATTTTTGTCAATTTTCTTTGACTTTTTAAGTGAAAATAGGTCGATGTGTACATGGATAAAGTCAAGGGAGTGCGCAATGCCATTTTTGTGCAATTCTGGGATTTTTTTTTTTAGTGAAAATAGGTCGATGTGTACATTAATACCGAGTATGTGCAATTCTTAAAAACGCGCCAATTTTGCACCAATTTTATTTGGTGATTTTGCACTTTCCCCAAATAACAATGTCGGTTTGGTTTAATCCTAGTATCCGGTGCACAAGGGATTTGGCCACTTTTGGCGACTTTATGATGAGCAGTACATGGGATATATACGATAAGTAGTTAAACGGGTCATTTTGGTGTTGGCGATAATTTTCAAAATCGTACCAAGGCTGCACCGTATACTAGGATTTTACCGTGGGTTTAATTGTGTGCATCAATATGAGTACTTACTCGTGGGAAAGAAAATAACAAGAGAAAGAGGTTTTCATCAATAACAAGAGAAAGGGGTTTTCATCTGCAAAGAACCCGTTGGCGCTGTTGCAGTCCTACTTCTAGTATGATGTTGTTATATATCTGGTTTTCTCTGTATACTTTATTGGCTGTTGACCATTTGATTTATATATAATGCATAGTTATGTTGTAAAAATTTTTTTTTTAGAACTGAGAATGGCACATTTGTGTAATGGTTTTCAAAATCAGAATAATTTATGTCAGTGGGGGGGGGGGATTTAAAATGTATAGAATTTACAATTAAAATGTATAGAAATGATTAGTTTGTGGCAAGACGAATGACTGCTTGATTATCATTGAATTATTATTATGTGATAAACTACTCTGGATATTGCAATTTCATGAATTTAAAATTTAAAATCTCATCTAGCAGTGCATGGCAGAATTTTAAATATTCAGCATGTTTTTGCACTCCTCTATATCATTTACTATTTACCTACAGAATATCAGATTTATATGTCATAAGTGCTTCAAAATTTTTTTGGCAAGAACTATGAGAATTGAAAGGAAAAAATGGACAAAGATTTGTTTGTATTCTTTAACATCTAAAAAGTGGAAATTCATATGGCTTTTGGAAATCCTAAGTATATTGTCTTAAGAAAACTTTGAAAATTATATTTTTTTTTAAAAAAAAATTGCCAAATAAGTTATTTTTTCAAAGATTTACATGTTAATTATATTTAATGTCCCCTTTTCCCAAATATAATATTTTATACTGAATCAAGCCTTTGAATTAATTATACAGCTTTGGGAAATATTTACTATTTTTGTGATGTATTTTCAGGGTGCTTATGAAGCATGTAACAAAGTAAAGCAACTAAGAGAATTTCAAGCTTCAAACACAATTAAGGTAAATCCAGATTCTCCACAACAGCACATCCGCTTTTTGATTCTAGAGTTAAGTATCTGAGCCAGTTTTTTTTTTTTTTTTTTACTTTCCTATACTGCAGTTTACTGAGAAAAATTTTCAATTAATATTTTAGTGACAAATAGCAATTATATATGAATGCTTTGAAAACTTTTATTTTCTCTTGTAAATGACATGAAGTTAAATCCTTTGATAAATCTTATGTCACTTATATAGAATTTCAGTATACAAAATTGAAACAGTATCCAGATACAGAATTTGATATATTTATTTGCTTATCATGGTACAATACACCACCAAACATGAAGCTGTGGCCAAGCAATGCATTCTCAATAAGCCATCTTCTGTTAGATGGGTACAAATTAACAGTTATGGCTATATTTTTTTCTTGTATTTTTGGGGGGAAAATGAGTTCGAGAGCTGTAGAATCACATTTATGATTGTACTCTGGTTCATTTACAGCTGGTCAAAAGAATTTAATGTTTGTTGAATGCGGAAACGAAAAGCTCAATATAGCTGAAAAAGATGTGATAGATTGAACAGCCATCTGTGGGAAGTTTGTACTGATAGGATTCTAAACAGAACATCTTGTAAAATTGGAGGGCCAGACAAAATAATAAATATCGATGAAAGCCTTATGTAGCAGGTTCAAATACTTCCACAGCAGTGACCATTTCATGGATTGTGCCAAGAGACTGATGATTATTTTATTGTAAGAGTTGCAGAAAGAAGTGCAGCTCAGAATTATGGAGGAACAATTTGTGGAACTTTGGTGGGTCTACCAACTATGATGGTTCGTTAGTAGCTAACTTTCATGGTCAGTAAGATGTAATGTGTAAATACTCAGTTATAATACCTTCAAGTTTAGTCTGTCTGCCTTTGGAAGATGTGTTCATGGGAGGAAGACTTTTTAAGAAAAATTACATGGGAAAAAATGGAAAATAATATTCAACAGTTTATTTTTTGGGGAAAAGAGCAGGAAACAAATTATCATATGGTGTTAATTTTATGTATTGGCCAGTTGTGGTTCCTTAAATCATGAAATAACAATTCTTGGTACTATTCTTTTTGAGGGCCGTAAGAAAATTGCAGCGAAAATGTATGTGCAGTAGCGCCAAATTTAGCAAACGCGCCCATTTAACAGCTCGCCAAATCTAGCATACGCATTGATTTCAGATTGCGTAAGTTTATATAGTTCTATACTTCTTAAGACGCCATTGAAATACTAGTTTAATTTTTAAATCCTTTTTTGATTTTAAATCCTTTTTTGATATCCTACGGATGTAACAATTTGGGAATTGCCCATGACGAAAAGTCAGCAATAGAATTTTGGGTAAAGTGCAAAATCACCCACTGCTTGATGCGTTTTGCACATACTTGGTATCGATGTGCACATTGATCTATTTTAAAAAAAAAATCCTAGAATTGTACAAAAATGGCAATGCGCACATTCTTGACTTTATCTATGTACACATCGACCTATTTTCACTTAAAGAGTAAAAGAAAATTGACAAAAATCCAATTGTTTTTACCCTTGTAAAAAGCGGCAAGCAAATAAGTGAGTGATTCTGCACTTTACCGAGAATATTTTCAAAGAAAAGGCATCATTCATTATAGAAAATTACGTTTGAACAACCAAACAAATTATGCTTTAGCGATAAGTCGGTAGCGAAATAGCGATGCAGGCATCCATTCAGTTATGTTTAGCAATTTTTATATAAATTATAATAATGATCTGAAATAGTTATTTACTCTTATGCTTCCATTCAGTCATGTTTAGGCCTTTTTCATATAAATTATAATAATAAAAAAGTATTATATGAAATTAACTTTTCATCTAAATTAAAACATCAATCTTAGACAGTTATTTACTATTATACTTCCTTTCTTGCCGCAATTATTAGGGTTGCCGCAATTCTTTTTGGCAGCATTGGCATCAATGATAATTTGGCGATTTTTTACGGCCCTCGAAACAGAATAGTACCCAATTTTTTAGTTAAGGATCCGTGATCATCTGACCTTATATATGCTTTAAATACCATGCACCAGAAGTAACTGTGAAGATGGAAATAATACGACTCAAATTTATTGAGTATGTTAAAATTAAGTTCATAAATTTAACATATTAAAATATAAAATTTTCTTGATTAGGATATGTAATATAAACTTTAATTTAGTTTTCATTTTAATTTTCAAAATATAGTTTTAATTAACTATATTTAGGTTTTAGTATCTTTAAATTCATATAACTGCTTCCCTCCTTAATATCATAAATTATAAAAAATTTTTGACTGGTGCTGAATATCTGTAATGTTGGATTTTGATCTGAATCTTAAGTAAAAGAAAAGACATATTTTAATCATCAGCAGTACTTTTGTATATATTTATGTGATCATCAATTTCAGATATGTGTTTCAGTGTTTTAATGTTAGGAATTATAAAGTGGTATTTAGTTTATAGATGTATGAAACATACCTAAACATTTAATGCAGATCTTGCTAATAATGAACTTTTATTACAGGCTAATAAGACACTACTAGTACCAACTCCTCGTTTAATAAAAGGACTTTTCAACAAAATAACACCTCCTCCAAATTCAAGTAAACATATTTTACGTATGTGTTCTACATCAGAAGTTAGTATAATATATATGACTATGATATACAGTAATATGCTATCTAGTCATTGAAAATTGTAAAATAATTGTTCAAGTAATTATTTTGTAATAGAAATTTATATACTAAGTATAAATAAGTTATAAGAAAAAAGAATAATAATTCAATAAATATAGATAATAGCGCAGTGTGGTTTTTCCAGAAATGAACAGAAAAACTTTATTTATTTATTTATTTATTTTTTTAATAATGAAAAATTTTATTGCCAGAGTTTAAATATTTTTTATTGACAGGTGATGTTTTAGCAGTTATGGAGAACTGGCCGTTTTGTAAAGGATTATGTGACTATTAAGGATCATCATCAAGATGTATCCTTAGAAATCCAATGTATATGCAGACTGAAACTAGTCAGTTTTAAATATCAGAAATTTGAAAATTTTTATTTTATATAAATGGAAAACAATGCGTACTGGCTGTCAAATGTTCTACGAACTGACTAGATTTTTTTTTCCTCTTAAATGAAATGTAAATGTGCACAGCTGCCACATCTGCATGAGAAAGAATGCATATTTGATTGTGGAAACCCTAAGATAACAGCGGAGCTCACTGCGTCATTTATTTATAGGCCCTTATCACTGTGGTACATTTTGAAGTTCACAGTGGTACATTTCAAAGATTTTTTATCACAGTCAAACATCGTGCAGCACTTTTAAAAATGTGCAAGAGATAACATCATTCTCTCCTTGTAAAAGACAAGTGTTCCTTAGTGTAACATGCATGTAGGTTAGAGTGCCTCCACATAGATACTGCCCACACCTGCTGTGACATTTGACATTGCTCTTTCTTGCAGGAATGGCTGGAAAGGTCAGACCGTGCACTTTGTAGTTTTTAGTTATGCAACGACTTAAAAGTCACAGGCATTCAGAGGTCAGCTGACATTATTGGTTACACTGAAGGAATTTATTTGCCAATGCAGTAACAGGAATTGAACCTCTTTGTTGCTGCTGTCTAATGCCGTGTCTAATATGGCATTAGACAGCAGCAATGGCTGTAACATTAAACATTTGTAATCCAAGCTGCATTGCGAAAGGACCTGTGTAAGTGCATAAATTTCTGATACAACTGAAATAACACCTTCAAATGAAGAATGTAAATATTCTGACAATAAAATTTTCTTTTACATAAAAAAAATAAATTAATTAATTAAAAAATAAATAAAAACTTTCTGTGTATTTTTGTGAGAATCGCATTATACTAGTATCTATACTTTTTATATTATTTAAATTTTATCTCAAATTTTGTCTTTCTATTGAACCACTGAAAATGTCTGTATCACTTTTGAGATTGTCAGCATCAAATATTATTGCACTGTATTTTTTTAAAGAAATTAAATAATGAAGAATCTGCATGTGTATATGTATGTTCCTTGTGGGAAAAATATATTTAAAGGTACCCCTTGGCAAAAATTTGCAATTTTTTTGGTGCCATTCTTGATTACGTGCAATGCCCTCCCAAGTAAAATAACTTCCAAAACATAATGCAATAAAACATAAAAAAATTATAATCTCAATAGACTGCACTTTAAATCAAAATAAAACAAGGGGTAAAAATATTTTTATGGTTGCCCCTTGGCGAAAATTGGCGACTTTTGGCGTTACATGGATACTGAGTTTGTGCAGTTCTTTGACTTGTTATTTTGTTTAGTGGCGATTTTTGCGCCAAAAATCACCGCTACACGAAGCCAAAATAAAAGAATTGCACAAACTTGGTATCCATGTACACATCGACCTATTTTCAATTAAAAAAACATTAGAGAATTGCACAAACTTGCTTGCGCACTTCCTTGATTTTATCCATGTACGCATCAGCCTATTTTCACTTGAAAAAAAATTGGAGCATTTCACAAACTTGCCATTGCGCACTTCCTTAACTTTGTCCATACACATCGATCTATTTTCACTTCACTCAAGCCAAAGGAGCACCCAATTCTGCAGTAGAGCCAAACAAAAAATACATAATCTTAATAAACTTCATTTTAAATCAAACATTAAATTAACATAAAAAAGGAATATTGAACTTGTGCACCTAAGCACTACATAAAGCAAATATCCACTTACGTTATTTAGAAATTTCCGACTCCTTCAAAGTGCGGCACACAAAATTCCTTAACGGCATCCAAAAACTTCCTAAAATTATCTGAACCAGAATCCATATATCGGCGTTGCCGCTTAAATTCATAAAATAAGAGTAAAAAGTATCCTCCATAAGGCCAATATCGTCCGGTGTTCAACCATATGCATTTCCTTTGTACAAACAGGACACTTATAATGGCTACTAAGTAAACCTTCATTTACACACCAGTCAATTAATGCACTTTTCCCTTTCTTTCCAAATCGTACAGAAATTTAAATTAATCTTACAACATTCAGCCATTCTACCATCTAAACCATAAAACAAGCAATGTACTTCCTAACCAACACACACCACAAGCCCTTGCAAATTTTTTTTTCTGTCATTCAAAATTTACGCCAGCATGCAATCGATTACGTCATAGGGTTTCCATAACATCAACTACTCAGATAACCATAAATGAAACAACAACTTCACGATTATACAAGGGGCACCCTTCAATCTACTGTAACCAAACAAGGAAATATAACATAAAAATGGAAATACATGTTATCTAATCTGCACAGTACAAAAAGGAAATATTGACTTATCTTATTTAGAAATTTCTGTGTCTTCAGTGTGTTTCACGCAGAATTCCTTCACAGCATCCAAAAACTGTTTAAAATTATCTGAACTAGAATATGTATACTGCTGTCACCTCATAAATTTAAAAAAGTAAAAATAAAAAATGTCATCCATGCTGCTGGGCTGTTGGTTGTAAACAATTATTTCTTTCGAAACTCTCTTTTTATTACACCCCACATATCTTCCATAGTGTCCATATAAGCTCCATTTTCAAAATCCTTAAATCTTCTCACTGTGTAACTTACTGAGAGGTGAACAAAGTATTTAAATCTTCATTTACACACCAGTCAATCATGTTTTCTTTCCTGTTCGTACAAAACTTACTGAAACTTTAGGTTATTCGTACCACCAGCAGGCATTTTGCAGTGTAAAGCGCAAAATAAGCAGTACTTCCTAATCAACATCTAATGCATAAATAAGCCCTGAGAAATATTTTCCCAACAGTCAAAATCACTGCAGTCACGCACTATAACCAATCACGTCATAATAGGGTTTCCATAACATTCAACATAAAATACTTGGGTTACCATAAATGACACAACAACTTGGTGCTAATCTAAGGAGTACCCTAAAATATAGAATACCCGCTCCTTGCATTGTGAAAAAATGAAATCATCAAATTTTGAATAGCATAATCTTCCACCCAAACACGTGTACCTGGAAGCCTGAATTTTATATTTCGTATTTTATAAAACATTAATGAATTTTTGACTAACAAACTCAAAAGTTTGTAAGTGGCCAGTGGCAACACTGTGCAGAATAAAACAGCTTTACCTCCAGGATCCCAGACTGTCTATCAGAAATTCTGAAGATATGTTGTTTTTAAATATTTTGTGATTTTGTTTTTTTATTGAATTTAATGTGGTATAAGTGTGAAAAAAACATATTTAGTACTTACGTATTATTGCAACTATCTTAGGACAAATCACCAAAGCTTCAAAATACATCAAACTCTGGTAACCATGTGCTAAACAATTATTCAGGCAGCCATGGGCATGACAAATGCTTAGTTTCCAACTTGGAGTATAACAAAAAGAATGCCATTTTCATATGCATTCTTTTTGTTATATTCCAGCTTTTATAAAAAAATTATGGTTATTTTTTGTCTTAAACTCGATTTTAAAATTTGTGCTTGCAATATTTTCCCATAATAAAAGAAGTGAAATTTCTGCAAGAATACATGCATATAATTAATTGCCTCAAAATTGCTAAAGGAACAATGCCTCAAATTCTTTCTCAAAGGGATTGCTACGAAATTTCCACCATTACAAAAATAAAAACCTGTTTATAGTAAAGTTTACTGATTGCCTTTTGGAATAAATATTGTTGCATGCGTACAGGGTCATAACAGATTGAGAATGCAAAAGTTCAATAAAAGATTAATAAAATTTATTCTTATCAAAAGAAATACAGTACAAAGTCTTTAATCCAGACTCGTCTGGACTTCGGCAATTCCGGATTAGGGGTTTTCTGGATTACAGATCATCAATTTAAATCTGGTAAGATGGCATACAGAAATTATACAATTAAAATATGAAACTGTAATTTATGAAATAAAGAGCAATTATGATCTAAAGTGTATCAAAATTTACAAAAAAAAAAAAGCTTAATATTTATTTGTTTACTTTATTAAACATTTCTTTCAACGCGCGCATGCATAAAGCATACATTGCGCGTAGTCGAAATTAGAAAATAGCAACCAGAAAATGTTTTGATGTGTATTCGTGATATTTATAATGATGAGGAAATTAATTTAAATCATATCGGAGTACATCGAGCTGAAACACTACATTTAGTAAGGAATTATAAGCTGAATAAAATAAAAACATCTGCCCTGAAGATGAGGATAGTGCTGACAGATCAACTTCCAGTTCATTGCGTGCCGTGACGTCCCACCCCTTCCGCAGAGCAGTGTGAAATTGATTTCGGAATGGTTAGAGAAACAAATCACCATTAATGCAGTTTCTTCATGCCTTTATCCATTTTTTGCAGCAGTTCCACTTTTTGTTTAATGGACATCGAAACATGCTTTCACTTTGTAGATCCTTTGACAGCTCCAGAATTGGGAACGCTTTTTGACATAATCGAAAGTTCAAGCTTACTTTTTATAAAATTGCTCTAACAGTCTGCAAAAAATAAGCCGGATCCAATTCAAAGATTAAGGAACAACGCAATCTATAACATTAACTGAAATAGATAATTTTAACCTAGCTTATGCTGTCCGTTGTACATTAAACACACATGCATAAACGTATTATGTGCATGCGTAAAGGTATTATGCATTTATGCATGCACAGAAAGTTTGTAGCTTTGAGGTTCGGGTTATAGATCATTCCGGATTATGGACATCCGGATTAAAGACTTTATACTGTATAACAGAATGCTGTTTCTCAGAGTTATTTACAAGTGTTCACACTATCATGCATTATAATCAGTAGTTATGTTTTAAACTACTAAAAATGTTAAATAGAATGCAATCCACAATTAGAGAAAGCTAATCCAATCTCACTCTGAACTCGCAAATAAATAATAACAACTGCAGCTAACTTAACAACTGAGCTGAGATGTTTCTCTCTGGCTCTTTAAAGGTTTCGGTAGGTCGCGAGAGAGTTCTAGTAATTTCTTTGCTCCTTGACATTTCTGGGAAGCAAAAGAATAGAATTATGGTTACATCCAGCACAGTAGTCGATTGCATTTATTCAATTTAAATATAAATTACAAGATATCTATTTATTAAATGTTAAATACATGTACTCCTGTATTTTTACTTTTCCAGTGTAACTTTCTCTTAAAATATGTGTCGTGCTGCATTGAACAGAGAAATAAGCCAATTTTAATTAAGATTCTACTAACATTAGCTAAATAAATACAAAATTCGTAACACTATATAGTTGAAATGCAGACGATGTATGTAATATATATGTTACCGTGAAAGACCGAAATTGGAGAATGTCGTCTTTCACTGGAGAATGTCAACATTCACCAAATACGTTGGTGAAAGATCGAATATTTCTTTACATTCCTGTACATTTGGACCCTCACCGGTGTATGTCGACAATCACAGATATGCTGTGGTGTAGGTCGAAAAGAGAGGAATATATGTACTTGCTGCCATTCCAAAAGGAAGTGTTCCACAAATAAATGCAGTTGTAAAAGCAAGGGTCTCTTGTGCAATTCAAAGTGTCATAATAGTTTAAGTTGTTGCAATAAATAAGATTTGAATCACATAATTTGGTAATTTTATAACTTCTATTATTTTCCTTTCTCATTTTGAATGTACTGTGTGTTTTAAGTTCTTATGTTCTTAAGTTCTTATTCTGAGTCTCATGTACCTGAGTAGTATGTATCTGATTATCCTGACCCTGCCAACTTTTTTTTAATTTCACTTCAATAAAGTACTGTGGCGAGTACAGTCTACAATGTTCTTTCAAGTATTCTGTATGTTTATAATACTACCAATGATAAGACTTTATATATGCTTAACTAATTTCTACCATCATTTTAAAAGAATAATTTTTGTTAAACTGTATAATATATATATTTAAATAGATTCACTAGATATTATAATTTTAAAATTAATAGAGTTGATTTTTTATAAGGTTTAAATGTAATAGGTTCTTATCAAAATTATGTTAATTGTTGTTCTGCATAACATTTTCAGGGTTTAAAGCATCACAGTGTCAAAATTGGATTAAATAGTAAGATCAAGGTTGATTTAGTTATAATTGGATCAGTCGCAGTGTCAATTAAAGGTAAGTTATTACATTCAGGCAAATAAATGGCAAGTAGTTTTTTATGAAATCAAATAAAATTGTTTCATAGACTATAAAATTTAAGGAAAAAAATTCTTGGATGCATTTTTCAATTATTAAATAACAAAATAATTTAAAAGGACGTTTGACATGATATTTGTTGTAACTTAAATCAGAATTTACTGATAATCCTAACTGAAATAAATCTCTACCTGAGATTACATTGTATAAGAATATGATTGATGCAAGTCTTTTTATACAAAATGTTATAAAAGGTTAAATTTTGAACTAAAATGGTATTTAGTTTCAAAAATGGTTTAGTTTAGAAATATTGTTTTGATTAAAATAGAGTAAATTCTTTGCATAACTTTTATGTAATAAATAAAATAAAATCTGTAGTTCCTTAAATCCACGAGCAAACAAGATCATTAATAAGCAAAACTAAGAAAAAAATGTCATTGTTATTAAACTATAAATTTTATTAGTTTTCACTAGAGTTTCTAAACTGAGTGTGTTTCTGTTGTTATTTTACAAATGAATTTTTTTAATAACAGTAGTATTTTATAACAGTAGTATTTAGTCTAATAAAACAGTATTATAACAGTAGCATTTAGTACAGTCAAAAGTCGTTAATTCGGACACCCATAATCCGGAATGATCTATAATCTGGACCTTAAAGCTAAAAACTTTCTGCACATGCACTGCGTTGACACATGCGCATAGGCATTTACGTGTGCACGTAAGACCTTTACGACTGCGCATATGCGTGTGCGCAAGTGCAGAATACGTTTTCGCATGCGCGTTTATGTATAACGGATGGTATAAGCTAAAATGATCTAATTAATCTATTTCAGTTATGTTGATGATTGCGTTATTCCTTAATCTTCGAATTGGATCCAGTTTATTATTTTTGCAGACTGTAAGAGCAATTTTTATAAATAAACTTGAACTTTCGATTAGTTAAATAGAATTTCCGATGCTGGAGCTCCAAAGGATCTACAAAACGAAAGTATGTTTCGATGTACATCAAACAAAAAGTGGAATTGCTGCAAAAAATGGATAAAGACATGAAGAAGGTGACAGAGAGGTTAGTGAAAACGAAAAAATTTCAATTGACAAGTTAGTCGGTATTCTCGGCACAGCAATTACGGGATTGAACAGTGGAACTTTGTAACTGAACAAGAAATTATCCGTTTATAGAATTAAAGAGAAAGTATTATCACATTAAACGAAGCAACTTAAACAACTTACATTGAAAGAAATGTTTAATAAAGTAAACAATAAATATTAAGCTTTTTTTTTTTTTTTTTTTTTTTTTTTTTTTTTTTAATTTTGATACCCTTTAGATCATAATTGCTCTATATTTCATAAATTACGGTTTCATATTTTTAATTTTAGAATTTCTGCATGCCGTCTTACGAGATTTAAACTGATGATCTATAATCCGGAAAAATCGATAATCTGGAATCGCCGAAGTCCCGACGAGTCTGGATTAATGACTGTATTATTTATAACAGTAGTATTTAGTCTAATAAAATACATTCTGTGTTCTTTTTTTTTTTTAAATTTTAACTTTGGCATTTGTATTCTGTGAAATGTATACAGTGGAGCACTGTTTATACATCTAAGGGGCCATTCACAAACAACGTGAATAGAAAGACATATAAACGAAATTTTAATTAATGATTAATATATATATTATCAGCATAATTTTGGTACTACAGTACAAAGTCTGAGATCCGGACTCGTCGGGACTTAGATGATTCCGATTGGGATTTTTCGGATATTAGATCACAGTTTAAATCTAGTAAGATGGCATGCAGAAATATAAAATTAAATATGAAATCGTTTTATGAATAATGAACATTTATGATCTAAAAAGTATCCATTTACAAAAAAAAAAAAAAAAAAAAAAAAAAAAAGCTTAATTTAATTGTTTACTTTAATAAACATTTCTTTCAATGTAAGTTGTTCAAGTTGCTTCATTTTTTTGTGCTAATAATTTCTCTTCTGTAGACAGACATATTTCTTGTTTAGTCACATTGTTGAAGTCTTGTAATTGCTGTGTGGATAATTCCAGTTAACTTGTCAATCGAAATTTTTTTTGTTTTCAGTTCTCAGTCACTTTTTTCACTATCGACAGCAGTATATTCTGGATCTAGAACCATACTAGAGATTTTGCCATCCATTAATTGACTGATGATTGAGGAACATTGTCATCACAATGAAATTATATCATATTTATTTATTACCACATATCCACATTTCTTTACAAAATCCGTTAACTGGAAAATTTCACCTTTGGTTTGCGGTATCTGAAAATCATTAAAATTTATGGTTATTAACATGAAATTTAGCTATCTCGCTCACTATACATATTTGGCTAAGGATCAAGAGATTGACGACTAAAGTTGTTCTGCTAAATTTTATTTTGCTTTTGTTGCGCACTGAGAAAATTAAGCCTGAACTGTATTAGTTATTTATTATATATATATCTACAGTCAAAAGTCTTTAATCCAGACGTCCATAATCCGGACCTCAAAGCTACAAACTTTCTGTGCATGCGTAAACGCATAATACCTTTACGCATGCGCATATGAATTTACACATGCGCATAATACGTTTATGCATGCACGTTTAATGTATAAACTAAGCTAAAATTATCTAATGATCTATTTCAGTTAATGTTGCAGATTGCATTGTTCCTTAATTTTCTAATTGGATCTGGCTTATTATTTTTTGCAGACTGTTAGAGCAATTTTATAAAAGTAAACTTGAACTTTCGATTATGTCAAAAAGAATTTCCGATTCTGGAGCTGCCAAAGGAACTACAAAGCGAAGCATGTTCGATGTTCAATCAACAAAAAGTGGGAATTGCTAAAAAAAAAAAAAAAAGGATAAAGGCATATCCTTTGTTTCTCTAACCATTCCCAAAACCTGTTATCAATTTCACTCTGCTCGCGGAGGGGGGGCAGGGTTCGTAGCAGTCCTTACAAGTGCTTATAAGTCCTTAATTTGAAAATAAAATATAAAGGCCCTTAGGGTTACTTTTTCTTAAAGCCCTTATTTGTTTTGTTTTTAGTGCTTATTTTTTGCTTTATGCTTTTTTTAATTCTTTTTTTTTAATGAACGCGAATTTTTCCCCCTGTACCAAAGCCGAGACTAAATAAAACAACTTTTCTTCCTGATTTGCAACGTCAAATGGCGAATCATACTTCCGGAAATTCTTTTCCCCCCCTTCCTCTGCCATTAACGAAACTATGGTCCGCGCCAGAGTACGACAGGCACGTGTTCTATTGGCCAAGAATTTGCGAAAACGGTAGAAAATTCCGTACATTTGGTATTCTTTTCTCCCGTCCAATACTACACACGTTTGAATTTCTATCAAGATTTTAATAATTTGCATTCTTCGTTCCGCGTGGTCAGTTCAATATTCGTGTTTATTGTGATCGTTATGCTTATATTATATGTATGAATTTATAATAATATAGTGCAGTAACCGCTGAAGTATAGATAAACTTCCAAAAAATGGGTGTGTTTTACACAGATTAGCTTTCTAAGGATAATTCGGAATGGCTTAAAAAAAAGGAAAGTAATCGAATAGTAAAAAATTTCATTTTCTTGCCAATACATTATACAGTATGGAGGTTGGGAGTTCTCTGCAAAATCTCTAATATTGAAGCAGCGGACTTTTTTTTTTTTTTGTTCACGTCCAATCTGGATTGAATAGGACTAAAAGTTTTTGCGGTCTACCCAACCCAAGCGAAGATTGATTCTATTCGGAAATTAATACTGTCTGTTGAAAATTAAAGTCTCTTCTTTTTCCTTTTTAGTTCTTATTCTCCAAATACCGCAGGTGTTGATTACGATTGCGTAATCACATATGGAAGAATTACGGCGCACGTATTGCGCAATAACGTTTTGCGGTATTTGCAGAGATAATTAATTTTGATGTTCAGTCTGAGATTTGTTTATGAACACTTAAAAGGAGTTTACTGTGTTTTCTAAGCAGAATATTTCTCAGTTCCGTTGGTCTATTTTATATGATGCACATATCGAAATGTCAAAATCATTTATTTAGCCTAAATTTAAATCTAAAGAACGGCTACAGTCTCCCCCACTCTCTTTTTCCAGTTACTATCCGGAATATTCGGAATTTCCGAGTATGCCGGTTGTAAGCTTTTACTGTTAAAGGATGACTGCATGAAGCAATTTCCCGTCTTCTGATTTCAGAAATGTGCCTCTTTTTTACTTAAAATTACTTGTTGGATATATGTTAAGGAAAAACTGTTATGGAATGAAAATTTAGAAAATGTTCAGAATTTGATTTAAGTTAAATTATTAAATATTAATATGAGTGGAAAAATAAATTGTATTTTTATTAGGTGCCAAACGAATACAATTAATATGGCTTATATTATTATTTTCTATATTTTCAACTGAAATATCATCATTAAATTTGTAATATAGTTTAGTTCTGCATAGTTTTTTTTTTCTCTATTGTAAACTAAATTCTGTAAATTGAACTGTCATTTAAAATTTAAAAAAAAGTTAATGTTTTCCATTGTTTGAGGTAATGCTTCTCTTAATAAATTTGCATTGCTCATATTTTAAATTACAAGTCTAATTTTTTCTTTTAAGGTTATGCAGTTGTGTATAATGTAATTAAACAGGTGCTTATTTTATCCTTAAAATGTGCTTGAAAAGTGCTTATGGGTGCTTATTTTTTTAACTAAAATGTGGCTATGAACCCTGGGGGGGATGTCGGGGTGCGCAATGAACTGGAAGTTGATCTGTCAGCACTGTCCTTATCTTCAGGGCAAATGTTTATTTTATTCGTCTTATACTTCCTTACTAAATGTAGTATTTCATCTCGATGTACTCCATCTTTGATATGATTTAAATAAAATTCCTCCTCATTATAAATATCACGAATACACATCAAATAGTTTTCTGGTTGCAATTTTCTAATTTCGAAAATGCGTAATGTATGCTTTACG